AGAGAAAAATGGTTCAGGGGGGGGGGGGGCGACGGGGCAGGGCGGGGGCGGGGGGCGAGGGGGCGCGGACGCAGGAGGGGGCGGGAGAAGTGCACGGAGGTAGGAAGATCAAGTTCGAAGGAGACGGAGATGGGGAGAGGGGCCCCGGAGGAGCGGGGGGGCCGAGGAGAAGAAGGCGGCGGTCTCGCGATCGCCGTCGGCGGGGCGCCCGAAATGGGCCGCGACGGCCCGGGGCCGCCTCCTTTCAGCCGCGCCAGTTCGCGGGCCACCTTGAGCAACGTCCCCGACCCCGCCGAGATCTGACCTGGCGAACTCGATGATTCTGCTTGCGGGGTTTCTGCCTGCGCCTTCGAGGTCGGAGGCGCGAACGGCGCTGGCTGGGCCATCCAGGACTCCCCCCCGAGTGCGCCTCCACGAGCCTCTTGGCATCCTCCTTCTCCTGGGCCCTGAGCTCCATCTTCGCCCGCGCCCGGCCCCTCTCGACCGCGCGCGCGGCCCTCTCCTCCTGAGCGCTGTCGCTCGGCACGAGCCTGACCGAGCACGCCCGGCTGCGCGCGCTGGCCCTCTTCGAGCCAACATTGATCGCCCAGGGAATGTGGATTCAGTTATCCGTTCCCCGCGCGCCCGCGCTCGATCTCCACCGCCTGCGGCCAGAGACCAGCAATCCCCTGGATCGCCGCGCAAGAGCGACAAGCGCGAAGCATCCCCTGCGCCCAGCGGCGCCACCCCGGCACCGCTCGTCTTCTGCGCCGACGCGAGCACGTCCGCGCCGACGAAGAAAAGCGGCTGGACCGGAGCCGACACCGTCTCCTCGGTGGGTTCGAGCGCCTGAAGGTCCTTGGGGATTTCCGCCCAGTCGTTCTTCAGCTCGCCATCGCCCCCGTGGATTGTCGCGAGGGGGTTGGCCGCCCTCCGAGGCTCTCGAACTCGGGTCGGTCCGGACTCCACCATGCCGCGCTTCTGGGCCATGCCGCCCGACAGGCCGCCCGCCGCCGCCGCCGCGGAATCCCGGCGCTACGCGAGCCATGCCGGCCACGGATCCGGTCTCGATCGAATGGCCCGCTGCCCCAGAGCCCCCAGACCCCCCCAGACACTCCCGAGACCCCGAGGAGAGGGAAAGATCCGAAGCGCTCGGCTCTACTGCTCAGCCCCCCTTGCAGCCCTGGCGGCAGCCCTCGGGCATGCGCTGCATCAGCGCATCAGCTCGCGATCGACGTGGAAGTCCTCGGGCTCGCAGTTGACGGGGCTCATCGCGCGGTGATCTCCCGGCGCCTCACCAGAGGACGGCGTGCCTTATCCTCTATCCCCAGCATCGCCTCGTCGCTCGCAAAACTCCCCCATTGCGCGCAGCGGCTCCAAGCGTCGGGCCAGCAACAGCGGGGGGCACCCTCCGGGCGGCACCAACAAAACTCCACGACCCCGCACTTCCAGACACTGACCGGCACCCGCCTCCCAGCCGCGGGCGTCGCTCGCCCCCGAGACTGGCCGCCGTCGCTCTGACTACCGGATCCTTCTTCGCAGGGGCCCTGAATCCGCGCCCGCGGAACGCCTGGGCCACGATTCCGAAGCCCCTCTCGCCCATCAGCGCCTGCGCCGCTGCCGCGCCCGAAGGGGCGCGACCCCCCGCCAGAATCGAGCTCAGATTCACGGCGCCCGCGAACATCTTCATCAGCGAGGATCAGTCCTCCAACGCGACGTCGTTGAACGCGTCGCAGACGCCATCGGGAATCGCGCGCAGGCGGGAGCTCTCCTCGCCGCCCTTGTTGCCGCCCTTCTCGCCGGCGACGCGGTCGGTCTTGCCGGGGAGCTCTTCGCCGTCGCCAGGCCGCTAGGGTGCGTCGACTTGCCCTTCGCGTCCATCTTGAGCAGCGCGCCTCTGATGGGCTGGTAGCCTCCCTTGCCGCGCGCAAGCGTCTTCAAGTTGATGCGATTCTGCTCGCTCAGGGAAGCGCCCCCTTCGAGTTGCCGCGCCCTCGCGCTGTCTGGAAGAATGAGCTCGCGCTTCTCTGACTGAAGAATCTGAGCGCCACGGCGAAGCACGCGCTCCGCGACGGACTCTGACTTGCGCATCGCGTGGACGAACAGCGCTCCATTGCGCGCCGCGCGCTCCCTATCGCCTGGGCGCCCGCCGTTGCCGCCCCGTCCCCAGCCTCGAGGCCAGCTCTACTCGTTCTGAACTTCACACGCATGTTCAATCGGAATGCCTTAGTACTCGACCTGCTTGTGCCTCCACGCGGAAGCCCGCGTGCCGCGCCTATGCCATCAGGTCCTCGCGGCAAAACGAGATGGGCTCAAAGCAGAGCCAGGCGAGGGGGTGCGCCGAAGTCTCTGTTCGGAGAATAGCCCCCACGACATCCAGGGCCTGGCGTCCCACCCCGTTCCGGACCAGTCAGCGTCGCCCCAACTTTCCTCGTGCCAGTCCGCGCTCCACCAATCCGAGTCTGGTCTGCCCAGGGCTGGCGTCGGTGCCCACGTCTAACTGCATGTCCAGATGGCCTCAACGCGCTGACTCGCCCACGGGTCTCGTTGCCAAGCACCCGATACCCACGACGACGAAGCCCGTGGAGCAGCCCACGAGTCGTCGTCGTCCTGCGCCGTCTGCCCTGGTCTTAGCGGCGTCGTCGCGTCCCAAAAGACTGCTGCATCCTTGGAAATGCCCCCTCTCCTGCTCGCCCATCTGTGCCGGGCCGTCGTCTCCGCCGAAGCCCATGGCATCCCTCGGCACGTTCGCCGACATCGTTCCGCGTACCACTGTCTGGAGTAAATAAGACAGGCGGGTCCGTGGGCAGGGTCAAAGAGCTGAGGGGGTGGTCTTTGCTCGGCTGGACCGCACAGCCCGTGCACTTCAGAGCACACCTAAGCCAACACGGCTACGGAGAAGGGACATAGAGAGACGGAGGGAGAACCAAAAGGGACTCTGGGGTTCTCAGAGACAGGCCCCCCTGGGTCATGGATCCGGGGGATGGTAGTCTGAGCGATGAAAATATATGAATATGGGGATCTATGTATATATATATATATATATATATTCGCTACCGTGCCTCTGTGGCACGAAGTGGAGTGTCCCCAGGTCCTTTGCTCAACCCCTAAGCCTCGCCTCAATCCTCAATCCTGAGGACTCGCTAAAGGATGATCTGGACCCCAAATTCGCAAGTCTCCCGGGGGTTCCCGCGTACCCTCCGCGGCTCACAACGTCGTGTCGCGTGATTTTCCGAAACGTAGAAGTTCCTAAAACGGTCCAGGGCCCCAACAGGCACCCAAAAACTTGCCAAAAGGACCCCGGATCTCCGAAAAGTCGGTCTAAGACGCCCAAGTGGCCTCCAGTCTGCCGAACAGCGCCCAAGAAGACCCAATACGCCTGCGAGAGCCTTCCCAACAGGGCCCCGAGAGGCCAAAATCCTTGATGTTCGTTCGGTTTGTGCAATTTTGGATTCGCCACATTTCGAGCTTCCGACGCTGCAAGACGTCTCAAGAGGCCCCCAAGATTGCTCCGATATCGCCCAAGATGCCTCCAAGATGGCCCCAGGACCGCCCAAGATGCTCCCAAGAGGCTCCCAAGAGGGTACACGGTGTGCCAGACGTCTGGGGTTCTGGTCTTGTCTAAAAGCACTCCCCCTGGGACTTCGGCCCAAACCCCCGGCCATCTAAAGAGCTGCACAAAGTTCGGTCGCCTGGCTCAAGACGGCCAAGATGGCCCAAGATGGCCGCCAAAATGCCTCCAAGACGGCCACTGGCCCTAAGAGAGCCCAAGAGAGCCCCAAGATGGCCTCCAAGACGGTCCCAAGATGCCTCCCAGATCGCCAAGATGGTCCAAGAGCCAAAGACGGCCCTAGAAACGCCCAAGAGAACCCTAAGACGGCCCAAGGGGCCTCCAATAAGTCCTCCACAGGCCCGAAGAAGTAAAAATCCATGACTGCCCATAGGTATTTCAGGATTTGGGCATTTGCTTCAAAGGGTTTTTTGACGGCCCAAGACGGCCCCAGATGCCCCCAAACCCGCCTCAAGACGGCCCCAGAGGCACCGAAAAGGGCCCCAAGACGGCCTAAGAGGGCCCAACGAACCGAAAATCCGAGCCTTCCGCCCCGTGAGACACCCAGGAGACCAGAAGCCACCCCTGGGAGGCCCCAAGAGGCCTCCACGAGGCCCCAAGAGGCCCACAAGAAGCCCCAAAACAGGCACCCAAAGGCACGGTGGCGGGATGGGCCGAATGCCATTCGACAAAATTGTGTGTGAATAAATGTTTGCAAATACACACATACACATGTACATACAAAATGTACATACACCATTGTTTGTTTGCGCAGGTGTAATTGAACAACTATGTGCATATGTACGTATAGCTATGTATGTCCTGAAACGAGCACCGTTTACCTGAGACTCAGGACCGCGCACTCCTCTGCGAGACCCGTGATCTGCACACGTGGAACCCAGCACGAGCGCAAGGGGCATCCCAACATTCGTAAGAGCCTACGATGTGCAGAAGAGCCGTCTCCTAGTTAGACCTTGGTGTGGCGTCAGCCTCTGTGATAGTCAGTGTTATTGTACTTGCCTGTTCGCATGCGTATGAGCCATTACAAGCGAACGAATAGGACAGAGGCGATAAGTGAGCAGCAGGAATCAGAAGCTCCGATTCGAATACTTTGAGTGAGCGGTCGCTCCGCACGAGATGTCCATCGCTGGAGCATTCGATTCACGATGGCGACTTTTCCAACAACGAGATCAACCCTCAGCGAGTACGCCTGGCCCTGTCACGCATTACATAATGTAGCTTCTACTCAGTGTGCTACTTCGCTCAGCACTGGTAAAGACTCTGCAGCCTGCTCAGGTTGGAATACCACTCGCGACTCCCATCGATTCGAACTGCCTCTCAGTGTCATGTATCTGTGTAAGGATCTCACAGTGTCAGCATCCCTGACCAGCACTAACCTAGTGCATGTCCGACTGACCTGTTGCGCTCGTCTGGCGATATGTCGATGCTCATTCCCTCGCGCATGGCCCTCTCACTCGTTCGGGCGATCCGCGGGTATGCTCTGCAGCGTTTCTCCCTCCCTTGGCTGGCGCTAACACTGCATTTTGTATGCATGTCCGCATCCTCCTAGTGCGCTGCAATCGTCAACTTGCTGCCTTCGCGCTGCGAATGCCTACAAATCCACCACCGTGCCATAGGCACTGAGAGGAGTGTCTTCAGGCCCCTGAGAAATTATGGATATGCATGTGCGTAAAAAATGCTTACGGACCCAAGACACCAAATTCTGGGGATGTCTGTGACGCCTCTGGGCGCTGTTGGGGCTCGCCGCATGATTTCTCCAGAGACTTCGGGAACACGCTTGATCCAAACTTCCAACGTGCCCGGAGATGGCCCCATGGGGACGTTCTGGGGCGCTCTTGGGGCCCCTTGGGCCGCCTTAGAAGCCCAACGCACTCAAAGACCGCATGTCTCTGTATGTTATTCGCATACTCGCCTGCTCGGTCATAAAAGGGGGTCCATGACGGCAAACGAGGGCCCCAGAGACCGCCCCAAGATGAACTCTAAGCCACGACGAGTGGCGCAAGAGGGGAAACTCGGGGAATGGGCCAAGATGTTTCTAGGACCCTGAGAGGCCTCGAAAAAGCCTCAGGAGGCCCCAAAGAGGCATTCACGAGGCCCCGAGAGGCATTCCAAGACATACTAAGAGGCTTCAAAAGTACCCCTGGTCCTCGCCCCAGGCACGTTGGCGGGATGGGCCGAAAACCACTAGATCCGCCGCCCCCTGCTTGCAGGGGTGCACGGCGTGCTGGATGATTCAGGTTTTGTTTTGGTTCTTTTTCTAAAAGAACTCCCCAGTGGGCTTCGGCCCGTCCCGCCGGCCACCCGCAAATTGCGGAAAACCCATCTCTCAATGCCCAAAAACGGCCGTTTCGCTCGGGACATCCTCAAAAAATCGCGAAGATGGCCCAAGATGGCCTCCAAGTCCGCCCGAGATGGTCCAAGACGGCCTCCAAAACGGCCCAAGAGAGTCCAAGACGGCCCAAGACGGCCCAAGAGGCCCCCCAGAGGCCTCCCAGACGGCCCAAGAGGCCTCCAAGAGGTCCTCCAGGAGAGTCCGAAGAGGCCAAAATCATTGATTATTCCTTGGTTTTTGAAGGATTCTGGCATTTGCGCCTTTTCGGCTCTCCGACGGCTCGAGACGGCCCAAGAAGCCCCCAAGATCGCCCAAGAGGCCCCCAAGAGAGCCCCATGATGCCCAAGTGGCCTCCAAGATGGCCCCTAGAGGGCCCCAAGAGGGCCCAAGAGGCCTCCAACACGCCCACGATGGCCTCCCAGACGCCCAAGATGGCCTCCAAGACGGCCCTGGAGCATTCCAAGCGGGCCCCAAGTCGGCCCATAGAGGCCCCCCAAACGGCTTCCGACGGCTACAGACGTGCCAGGAACCCACCAAGATGGCCGAAGTTGGCTCGAAGCTGGCCCGAGACGGCCCAAAAAGCCCCAAAGATCGCCCAAAGCTTGCCCAAGAGGCCTCCAAGACGGCCAAGATGACCTTCAAGATGCCCACGTGTTCCCCGAAGGCTTTCCAAACCGATTCGGGGAACACGTGGTCCGATAGCTTGGCAGGTCTGGCCTCAACGTTCGGCCACATAGGCGCTTCCAAAAAGGCAGGGGGCGGCGGTGATTCGCCGTAGGCGTCTTCGATCCGCCGCCCCCTGCTTGCAGGGGTGCACGGCGTGCTGGACGAGCTGTTTGGTTTTGGTTCTTTTTCTAAAAGAACTCCCCAGTGGGCTTCGGCCCGTCCCGCTCGCCACCCGCAAATCCCACCAGCCCTTTAGGGCGTAGGTGGTCTAGGGAGTTTCCTCTGCCAACCCCCTTCTTCCCCTTCGGGGAGGGGTTTACCCCTCCCCTTACCCCTCCCCACTGACCTGGACGGGGCCGGTCGCGAGGTGTCAGAGCGTCCAAGATGGCCCAAGACAGCTCCAAGAGCGAACAGGCGAGAAAACACAAAACATTGATTTTACCTAGGTTTTGGAAGGATTTTGGCATCTTGGGGGGGCCCAAGAGGCGACTCGAGGCACTCTGGAGGGGCGGGGCTAATAAGCAACCCCCCCTTCTTTGATAGATCTCCTCCAAGATGGCCCAAAGAGCGCCCCGAAGGCTCCCAAGAGCGCCCCAAGAGCGCCTCAAGAGGGCCCCAAGAGACCCCAAGAGGCCCCCAAGAAGCCTCCAAGACGTTGCCAAGAGACCCCCAAGAGGCCCCAAGAGAGACCAAGATGACCCAAGACGGCTCCAAGAGCGAAAAGGCGAGAAAGCAACAAACATTGATTTTACCCAGGTTTTGGAAGGATTTTGGCCTCTTGGGGCGCCCAAGAGGCGACTCGAGGCACTCTAGAGGGGCAGCGCTAATTTGGGGAACCCCCTTTCTCTGATCGATCTCCTGCAAGATGGCCCCAAGAGCGCCCGAAGGCTCCCAAGAGCGCCCCAAGAGCGCCCCGAGAGCGCCCCAAGAGGCCCCAAGAGGGCGCCCAAGAGGCCTCCAAGAGGCCCCCAAGAGACCCCCAAGAGGCCCAAGAGGCTCCCAAGACGGGTCCAAGAGCGAAAAGGCGAGAAAACAAAAAACATTGATTTTACATAGGTTTTGGAAGGATTTTGGGCCTCTTGGGGGGGCCCAAGAGGCGACTCGAGGCACTCTAGAGGGGCAGCGCTAATTGGGGACCCCCCTTCTTTGATAGATCTCCTCCAAGATGGCCCCAAGAGCGCCTCGAAGGCTCCCAAGAGCGCCCCAAGAGCGCCCCAAGAGGGCCCCAAGAGGCCCCAAGAGGCCCCCAAGAGGCCTCCAAGAGGCCCCCAAGAGACCCCCAAGAGGCCACAAGAGGCTCCCCGAGATACGCAAGAGGCCCCCGGGACCGCCAAGAGGCCCCAAGGACGGCCCAAGAGGCCCCCAAGCTCGCAATTGTCCTCCTCCTCCTCCTCCTCCTCCTCCTCCTCCTCTTTTTCTTCCTCCTCCCTCCTCCCCCTCCCCCTCCTCCTCCTCCTCCTCCTCCTCCTCCTTCTCCTTTTCCTCCTTCTCGTCCTCCTCGTCCTCGCAGTCCTCCATCTCCTCCTCCTTCTATTCCTCCTCCTCCTCCTCCTCCTGCTCCTCCTCCTGCTCCTCCTCTTCCTCCTCCTACTCCGACGACGACGGCTCCTCCTACATCCTCCCCCTCTCGGGGTATATGGCGGCTCACCCCGCCCTTTGTTCTTCTGCATGCTCCCCCGCTTCCCTCATAACCTCCACTCCCCTGGGACTCATTTCTGGACGGGCTGGTGGGGATACACGAAGCGTCTAGAATTGCCGAAAATCCGTCTGTCAATGCCCAAAAACGGCCGTTTCGCTCGGGACATCCTCAAAAAATCGCGAAGATGGCCCAAGATGGCCCCCAAGTCCGCCCGAGATGGTCCAAGACGGCCTCCAAAACGGTCCAAGAGAGTCCAAGACGGCCCAATACGGCCCAAGAGGCCCCCCAGAGCCCTCCCCGACGGCCCAAGAGGCCTCCAAGAGGTCCTCCAGGAGAGTCCGAAGAGGCCAACATCATTGATTTTCCATTGGTTTTTGAAGGATTTTGGCATTTGCGCCTTTTCGGCTCTCCGACGGCTCAAGACGGCCCAAGAAGCCCCCAAGATCGCCCAAGAGGCCCCCAAGAGAGCCCCATGATGGCCCAAGTGGCCTCCAAGATGGCCCCTAGAGGGCCCCAAGAGGGCCCAAGAGGCCTCCAACACGCCCAAGATGGCCTCCCAGACGCCCAAGATGGCCTCCAAGACGGCCCTGGAGCATTCCAAGCGGGCCCCAAGTCGGCCCATAGAGGCCCCCCAAACGGCTTCCGACGGCTTCAGACGTGCCAGGAACCCACCAAGATGGCCGAAGTTGGCTCGAAGCTGGCCCGAGACGGCCCAAAAAGCCCCAAAGATCGCCCAAAGCTTGCCCAAGAGGCCTCCAAGACGGCCAAGATGACCTTCAAGATGCCCACGTGTTCCCCGAAGGCTTTCCAAACCGATTCGGGGAACACGTGGTCCGATAGCTTGGCAGGTCTGGCCTCAACGTTCGGCCACATAGGCGCTTCCAAAAAGGCAGGGGGCGGCGGTGATTCGCCGTAGGCGTCTTCGATCCGCCGCCCCCTTTTGCTTCAGCAAAGGGGTGCCCGGCGTGCCAGACCCTATCGGTTTTGGTTTTGGTTATGTTTCCCAAAAAACTCTCCCAATGGGTTTCGGCCCGTCCCGCCTGGGTCCCGGGATTTTTTCCACGGACCTCACTTCCCCAATTTTCTGCCCAAGACAGCTCCAAGATGGCCTCCAAGATGGCCCAAGATGGCCTCCAAGATGGTCCAAGATGGCCTCCAAGTCCGCCCAAGATGGTCCAAGGCGGCCTCCAAGACGGCCCAAGAGAGTCCAAGAGGGCCCCAGACGGCCCAAGAAGCCCCCCAGAGGCCTCCCAGACAGCCCAAGCGGCCTCCAAGAGGTCCTCCAGGAGGGCCCGAAGAGGCCAAAATCATGGATGTTCCCTAGGTTTTTGAAGGATTTTGGAATTTGCTTCTTCTCGGCAT